GCTTTGGAAGATCACTTGTTGGGCAAGCAGAACCAACAGTGACTCATGATGAGCTGATGGACATGGCGCGAGTTTTGCGTGGGCGACTGTTCCAAGAGTTCTGAGTCAGAACGCTGTTTAAGCAAATGGTGCTTAAGCAAGTTTAAATAGGGATTGTTTAAACGAGTTGTGTTTACCTTAAACCTCCGGTGACCGGTGGTTGCTTTTCTCAGCCTCTTAGAAAAGAGGCTCAGGTGTTAGCCTCTCCATTCAAGAGTTGCCGCTTAGAACAAAAACTGCCTCTCGTGTTTTTCTGGTAGAAGGGAATCTTGTCATTTGTAATGTTTTTGGTAGTCTTCCACTGCTGCTGCCGACCGCCTGGATCTAGCGACATGATGAAAAATTATCGGTCAAGCCCAAGCGAACAGAGTTTCATCATGCGTGCTAGCAACTGAGTCCAACCCCAATCAGCCATTTGAGTTTCATCATCAGGCACGGCGTAACTCTCCGAGGTGTTTGGCGTCTGGAGGTGATTCAAGGCAGAGTTCATAGGAGTAGGCAGTTGCTGGATTTGCACCTGCAGCCGGCAGAAAACAAGGTAAAATGTTTAGCCAGGAAATGTTCAGACATGTTCAGACCAAAACACTGACTAGAGGTGAGTACCAATACCTATAGAAATGAAGAGCCCCACCTGCGGCCGTTGGAGCTTCTGACATCAGAGTTGCATCGTCACCATCAAGTTTGTCCACATGTTTCTCTTCTTCTTTCACTAATGTCAACCCAGCCATCAGGGTCGAACTCAAAAAGACACGGAAGCTGACGCGCCATTTCCCCTTTGGATTAGAGACGAGCCTGAAAGCGGCAACCTGTCGACTTGACACTATCACTATGCCAAAAACTCATGACCGGGAAATTCCGCCTCTTACCCAGGGGATTCCACCTCTCGTTGTTTCATGTTTTTGCAGGTGCTTCATGTTTTTTCACGCGCTCTCATGTTTTTTCATGCACTTTCAGATGTTTGTCTAATTTTTCAGCTTTTTCATGTGGCTCTCCTGCGCTTTCATGTTTTCATGTGGCTTCCATGTGTTTCAGGTTTTTCACATGTTTGATGTATTCATGTGATTTTCATGTGCTGATTCAGGTATTTCATTTGTGTTTATCATATTGCATGATATCATGTTCATACTTGCAAGTTTCTACTTGGATTGGCCTGCAAAACAGACCCCCACAAGTCCGGTTCGACCTGCCTGAAATGCAGGTTTTGAAGGGGGAAAGCCGGACTTGTGGGAATATTTTTTCGCAGGCCAATCCAAGTGGAAAATTAGCAGTTCACATGTATATATATATATATATCTATCGATATAGTTTCATGTTGTGTGTGCTCACTTTTCCACAGTGAGTTATCATGCCTTCATGTGCTTCATGTTTTATCATGTTTGAATTCATATACGTTATGTTTTGTTTCATGGTTCGGGGCTTGTGGTGTATTTCCTATATTGACGGTTATCACGCGTTCTATCAACGTAACTGGGTAGAAATCTATGTAAACCCAGAAACGCCTCTTGCAAAAACAGTTGCCTCTCAGTTCCTAGAAGCGCCTTCTGGGGTAGAGGCGCAAAAAGTGTGGGTTGGTTCACGGTTCCACCAGTACCACTAAAGGAGTACATCGAGTACTAAGGGAGAGGTGCTTTGGCACCATCTTGATCTAGCAAAATGGCCACGCGGCAAACAAATAATTAATCAGCTCAATCAGAAATCATCTCATCGTCATCATCATCATCATCGTCATCACCGAAGCCTGTTTTAACCACGCTTAAACAAAGCAACCCCAAAGCAGCTGTAAACATGTTTAAACAGTTTACAGCTTATAAGGTTTAATGTAATGTTTAAATGCGTTTGACCCGACACTGCTCGGAACACTTGGATCGACCAAGTCACAGGTGTTGAAGGCCATGGGTCGAAGGTTTTTGCTGCGCTGGCGGCAGTTTCCACCGCCTGGAAACCATGGTTGGTAAGCTTGGAGGGTCCTCTGAGATGCCCATCTCAAGTTTTGAACAGGGTTGTAAACTCTAGTTTAAGTTGGATCTGAGAGCAAACAGTCAATGCTAAGCTGTCTTGATCTGATTCCTGGCAACAGCAGCTGATGATGATGAAAATTGCAAAGCAAAATTGCAACTCTAAAAGCTTGCTCTTGCTGAACATAATACAAACAACATATCAACAATATACACACAATTACACACACAATATTCAAAAACAATCCCTGATATAATCTGATATATCAAAATCAAAGATCCTGATATGAAAAACAATGATAAACCCTGTATACCTTCCAACACATGGGCCCAAACAATCCCTCCCCCACCTGCGCTGGCGGCGACAGGCTTGGCGAGACCTCCGATGAGACGTGCGGCGCGCCCTGAGGACTTGCAACATCTTGCAACGTGCGGAGCTGGTCAAAAGACCCATCCGGCACAACAATTCATAGCTCCATCTTGGGTTTTTGTCTTAGTAGTCTATGTAATGTCGAGAGACGATCAACATACCTGCCTGCAATACTAACCAAGAACCACCCTCCAGAAAACCTTCCAGCCAACTTTTGTTAAACTATGCCATAGACCCCCCGCAATTAGTTTGGTCCGCCATTCTTGGACAAATCTTTTGCAAAACTTACTGTCTCATGATGAGATTCAGTCTTTCGGACCCCTCCTCAGGAAAAACAATTAAGAAAACATTTGTTTTTAGGATCTTTCCTGACGAAGATGTAGTCTTTGGGATCTCTCCTCATGAAGACGTGTAGTCTTTGGGATCTCTGTTCATGAAGAGATTTAGTCTTTGGGATCTCTCCTCATGAAGATATATTTTGGGGATCCCCTCTTCTGAAGATAGTAAAAGGAAATCCTCATGATTGACTCCCCAAAAACGAATGCTTTTGATCATGCGTTGACATGTGTCGACATTAAATTTACAGAACGTTCCCACTGGTCTAAGACCAGGATATCTCACGCGGTATTTTTTGGGGTCATCAATTTGGACCTACTTTACTGTTACTGTTACTGTACATGTCTCTTCACGCACATGCAAAATCGTAAGAGAACTTAGGATGTGGAGAAAAGTTGCCAGAAAGGACGTTGTGATGCGTTGTGGCTCGACTTGGCAATCGCATCCTGCTGAAAAAACTTGAGAAGAGAGAGACACGAAAGGTAGGAAAGCGGGAAGAGAATAGAAGCATGTAAAACATGCAATTGGCAACTATTCCTCTGATGCGCGCATATTCGCGACCAAGCCCTCCCCTGCCAATCTACCAGCCTCATGTGGAATCGGCTGCAACTTTGCGGACTGCGGCAGACTTTCGGGTTCCTGTCGCAGGACAGGTGCGGCGAACTCTTGGCGTTCGGATTTGCGATGCGTGGAATGGGGTCAGCGAGGGAGACGCGGCTTGTAGCAATTAAATACGCAGGACTGCCAGGAATGCGTCAACCCGCAACGCTTTTTCTGCGGCTGAGCCACAATATTCTGAAGGCAACCCACATAAACCACACGGAAAGAAGCACCGCGCTAACGACTCATCTCCAATCCCGCGGATCTCCTGCGACGGCCAGCTTGCGCTCACCTGGACCTAGCATGCAAGAGCGGAAAACATAGTGTTAAAATTGAATTAGGCCAGTATAGTCAGCATTAATTTTTGAACGTCAACTCCTTTATTTCCAATGGTAGTAACATCCGTAGTTTTGTTCCTGTAGCTTCCAGCTGTTTCGGAAGCTAAATTGAGTGAACGCAATGATTTAGTTCCTGGTTCCCAGGTCACATGTGCAAAAGCGAAGGGATATGTCATGCGAAAATCCGATACATGTCAAACTTGAAACGCTGCACCATTGGTGTATTCATAGCGGAAAAGAAACCCCACGGCGCGGCCACGGCTTTCATGACCAGCCATTTCTTTCTTAAACTGATTGGGAAACAAGAGGATGACACAGGGTTCGGCAGCAGGAGGACACCAAGAGGGGACAAGAGGAGTGACACAGCATGCGCAAGCGCGGCCGGACAACAGCAGGACAAAACAAGGAGGACAAGTTGAAGAGGAGGACACAGGGGTTCGCGAGCGTGGCCAAAGGACAACAGGACAACACCCGGACACAGGGTTCAGGGGCGCGACCAAAGACTGTAGCAAGTGTTCGTTTTCTCTAAGAGGCAACCCCAAATTTTGAAAAGCCTGAAGCTTGCCTCAAAAAATGGTTTTGTGCATCTCTGTGCCCAATAGCGTGGAACTGGTAAAATTACCTTGAATATCCTTGAATATGACTGATGCTCGACACAAGCTGACTCGACAATAGTTCCTGGACACGGAATCAGCACCTGTCAAGGTCACTACCAGTATTTCTCCCTTCGCCAGGTGGTTCAGTCTTGAACACAAAACCCTGGAAGTCAGGAATTGAAACCCAGTTGCAATGAAAAGTCAAAACGTGGCCTGGACAGTTGACCTTGAATGCTCACCTTGGTTCGGAACACTTGGTGACCAAGTCACGGGTGTTGAAGGCCACGGGTCAAAGGTTTTTGCCGCGCCGGCGCCAGTTTCCACCGCCTGGAAACCATGGTAGGTTTGGAGGGTCCTCTGAGGATGAGTTGCTGAATTTGACAGGGATGCCCATCTCAAGTATTCTAACTCAGCTGCAAATTCTATATAAGTTGGGACTTGCACCATGCATCCTGGAAATAAAACGAGCTGCATTAGATTTCTGGTTGTATACATTTTCATATATATATATATATCCAAGTCTTAAGAAGTCATCACCAAGAAAGGTCATAGTATGTGCACCCACCGAAAGGATGTCTATGCAAACATATTACTCAACGTCTCAATCGGTGGCCGCCCCTTACACAGTACCAGCATGATCTGCTTCGCTGAGGTCCGCATAGTTTGAGAGATTGATTTATAACCCCCCTTTGAAGCTGCGAGGCTCAAACTTTACAGATAGTGCAGCTTAGGCGGCGGATTGAGCCAGTGTGATTTCATGGACCCGATGTTGGTGGCATTTCTAACCCCAGATGACCTGGGGAAGGAGGGTTCGTTCGTGGTGAGACGACGTCCGGATGGGGTTTGGATCAATCCATACACCCAGCAGGTGTTCAGAGTGACCTGCCCGCATGTGGATTTGCTGGTATCGCTGCACCTGTTTCGTGTTGTGAAAGTTTCCAAAGCTGGTGTCGTTTCGCTTTCAGAGACCCCCAATTCATGGATGGTACCACATCGAGAGTCTGGAACTGCTGCTCCTTTGCGCTTTCTGGAGATCTTTTCGGGCCTTGGTGGCACTACTCTAGGCTTTGCTGCTGCAGGATTTGAACCGCTTCTTGCACTGGATCACAAGTCCATTGCTATCGAGAGCCTTGGCAGGAATCGACATGTTCATCCGATGCTTGGCGATGTGGGGCCGCGGCAGGATTGGCTGAGAATCCACTTAGCCATAGGTGAGGAACCGGTGGGAAGCTAGCGGGCTTTCCCTGTCAGCCATTTGGGAATCTTGGTGCTAAGCTGCGATTTAGTGACCCACGATCTCAAAGCTTTTTCCATTTGCTTGACCTTTCTTTGGTTTTGCAATCCCGGTGGATTGTTCTGGAATGTGTGAAGGGTGCTGGTGCTCACCCCCTTGTGCTGGACACCCTCAATCGTTACTGTGTCCTCCGGAATTTTCAATGGAAAGATGTGACCCTGCATCTCCATCGAGTGTGGCCTGCCAGAAGGGAGCGTTGGTGGGCAATTCTTGCTCCTGCTGATCTTCCTCTACCTGATCTTTGTGATCTTGACGTTAGCCAGCCTGCGCTCACTATGCGAGATCTCTTTAGGTTCTTTCCGGCTTGGTCGCTACAGGAGGAGTTGGACCTCAAGTTGAAGCCCATGGAACGGCAGGTCTTTGCTGATGAGACTTTCGGAGACACCAATCGGCATCTCAACATGAATGGCATTTGTCCTACGCTGTTGCATTCCATGGGCCATCAGGTCTTGGATTGCAGCTGTGGATGCCGTGGACCACTCTCTTATGAGCTTCTTCAATCTCAAGGCCTGCATGGTGTTCTTATGAGATCGCAGTGGGAGAATGTGGAAGATCGGCGCCTTCACCCTTTGGAGGCTGCGCTACTTCTTGGTCTACCAGGTTCTTGGGAGTATGCTCGTCCTACTCGCACGGACTTACCATTGCTTGGGCAAATTGCATCACCTATTCAGGCTTTTTGGATTGCACAGCATCTCCTTCGGGCCTTTCAGATGCTCTCTACATCCAAAGACCAGGCTCCAAGATCCTTCCTTGACCACATCCTTTGTACGCATCATCAGCGATGGCCTGAACGGGGCATGTTTAGAACCCGTGAGATCAGCATTCTGTATGAGGATGAGCCTGATGCTACCTTTGTCGCTCGCAGTCCTGTGCAGGTTCAAGATCTTCTCCTTGCTGAAACGCGTTTCATTGGGGTTTCCAGCTTCCAGCTCTTTGACGGGGACGTTTTGATGCATCCCCAGGAGCTGATTCGTGGCACTCGTCTCCATGCTCGAGTTGGTAATGGTCCCGTTTTGGAGGCCGGTTGCTCTACTTTGTGGGTCAATAAGGGCCTTGACGATCCGACAATGACCTCGCAAGGGCAGTCTATCTTTGCTCGACATGCAAGACCTGCGGATGTCTTCTGGGGCCCTCGTCACGTGGGTTGCTTGCTTGACTCCTATGTTGCAGGTGCACTATGTGAGATCCGGGCACGCTCGGCTGACCCTGCAGCCCAGCATTATGGCATCTTGTGGACCAACTACCACTGGCAGCTCTTTTGCTTTCATCGCTCTGGGGATTGTCTTCAGGCCACTTGCTATGATGGATGTGATGAGCCCAACACGTTTGATCTTGAGCTGCTTTGCAACCGTTTCATGCTTGCTTGGGGATGCACTTCCTATGAGCTGGCTGTGGTGACTCGCATTCGGCAAACTTATGGTACCCATTGTGGTGCCATTGCACTTGGGCGTCTTCTTCTAGTCCTGTGATGAGGAGCGCTATGTCACTTGGCATCGTCTTTTGCTTCTACATCAGAATCGCTGTGGCAATGGGCCGCCTGATGCTGCTATGATCGAATCCTTGAGCCAGATCCTTGTGCAGAAAGGTGTGCCAGAACGACTTGTGCGGGATCGGGCTATGCTTGCTGTCAAGAAGCTTGGACATACTGCCATTCAGCAGGCACTTGGCACACCTGACCCTTGGCGTGCCATGAAGCAGATTCAACCAGCCAATGGCCGCCCTTTCCAATTTGTTCTCTACAATGAGCTGCAATCCCAAATTGCTGAACGTGCTTCTAGCAAACATGGCGCTGACTTTGGAAAGAAGGGTGGCAAGTCTGGCCGCAAATCCTTGCCTGAGCTTCATCTCTGTCCTGAGCATCTTGAATTGCTTCCTCATCTATTCGTTGACAATGCGGGTGACCCGGTTGCCGTTATTGGTGTCAAGGAGGTTGTGAGTGATGCCCGGGGCATTGCCATCGTTTCTCCTGACATGGCCAAGCAGCTTGATGAGGGGTCGGCGAATCTCTCCATTGACGCTTTGGCTGTACTTACTGTGGGAGATCATTCCAATGCTCTTGTCAAGCATGAGAAAAAGGTGATCCAGTATCCGGTGATCTATCGGCCTACCAAAGAGCCGGCATTGCTCACTGGCACTCTTCTTCAGCTTGGGGATGTTGATGTTCAGCTCAAGCCTACATCTGGAGCTCCAGTGGTGCAGTCGCTTGACACTGCGGTTGTTCGGGTGCAAGTCTTTCGTGATGCGTATCCACTGGAAGACTGGTCGGCATTTGTGGCTGGTCCTGTCAAGGCCTTGGTCAGTTCTGTTGAGTCACTGCAGTACTGCAATGGCAAAGATTGTGGCAAGCAGTGCGCCAAATTCCACCCTTCAGTTGAGGAGGAGATTCGTACTGCTCTTCTTGATGTTTGGCAATGGCAATGGCTTGCCAAGCCCTGCAAGCAGGCACAGGCTGACATCTTCTCGGTGTACCTTCGTGTCCCCACATCTGGCCTCTTTGATCTTCTTTCACATGACCTTCCAGAGCATTGAGAATCTTTCGGTGTCACAGCGAGAACTTCTCTCCACTATTCGGGATGGAACTTTCTTCCTCCACACCTTCAAGGCTAGATTTGACCCTGGCTTTTCTGAGCTCTGCCCGTTTTGTTCACAATCACTGGACACTATGGAGCATCGGGCTTGTGTGTGCTCGTATTTCCAGTCTGTCAGGGAGCGCCATGCTGCCTGCTGGACTATGTGGTCAGATGTGCCTGTCGCCTTATCTCATCATGGTTGGACTCCTGCCAATGAATGGATTCCACGATTTCATGATGAGCTTGAGCGTCTGATTGATGCCCCTGTGTCTTGGCAATGTGAACCGGCTGGGCGTGATGTCCAACATATCTTCACTGATGGGCCATGTCAGCTGCCCACTCATCCTATTGGTCAGCTCTCATCATGGGCTTTCGAGCTTGCTAATAGTACTCAGACTGTTGCAAGTGGTCTTTTACCTGGGCGCTGGCAGGGAATAGCAAGGGCCGAGCTCTACGCTGTGCTGCAATCGCTTCTTTGGGCTGCGTTCCATGTGGTGCCAATTCATATTTATAGCGATTCTGCGTTTGTTGTCAGAAGACTTGAGCGACTTCTTGCTGGACACGTGGTTTCTTGGAGTTGGGCTCATGCTGATCTCTGGGAACGTATTGTCCAATGTTTGCCCCAGGTGCCTTGGCTTCAAGTGACTAAGGTTACTTCACACTTGAACATAGAGCATGCAGGTTCGTCATTTGAAGTTTGGTGTATTCATCACAACTCGGTGGCCGATCTGGCTGCGGCTGCTGCACGTTTGACTGCACTACCAAGCTCCTTGCGGATGGCTTATGATGCTATGATGGAGATGCATGCTGTGCATTACCGTTTGAGTCGGCAGTTCCAACTGTTCTTGCTGGACCTAGCAGAGCATGGCCTAGCTGCTGAACTGAGCGCGCAGCCTGAGCCGTGTACAGATAGTTTCGTTTTTAGTTCCTTTTTGGTCAATGACCAGGGCTTTGTGGAGGATCAGCCACTTGATGTCCGGTCGGCTTTGCAGAAGAATTTGTTTTTGCAGCGCTTTGGCATTCAATTTGCTGAGGCGCTTCAGTCTTGGTTGGTTTCCTTGAGCCTGCAAGCAGAGTATCTTACTTCGGTGTCCTTTGTTGAGATTTTTCTTGGTTTTTCTGTTTGTACCAAGGTTTCGTTACCCATTTGTGTTGATAGTACTTCTCAACACTGGATGGATGTTGCAGCTCTTGAGGCTGGAGATCTCTTTGGTAGGACCCTTGCTGCCCAGGTTTCTACTTTTAGGCTTTTGTTTGATGCTGTTCTGCAAGCGGTTGATTGTTCGTTTGAGACATGGCCGGTGTTGGTGGCGGACAAGGTGCACTTGTCCACGCTGGCCTTTTGTCGTAGATCCCCGTTGAGATTTTCTCGCGACCTCGCTCGTTCATGGCCTTGACGAAGGCACGTAGAGGCCTTACTTGCTGCGCGACATCGCTAAGCTGTGTCCACAGTTGCGGCGCCTGACTCGTCCGCAAGAGAGTGGTATAACCCCCCTTTGAAATGTATGAAACATCTCCTTGAGATTTGTGGTATTCATCAACCGTCAACATCAGATGATGGAGACTATGGCTGTAACGATGACCAGCGCTAGCGCTTGCTACCGGCGCTCTCCGAGGCCCGGTGCAACCGGCAACGTCATCCCGTCAGGACCCCAAAAACGTGAGAAGCATGCACATGTCCATGCTACGTTGAAAGTAGGGCATGTCATTCCGTCCCATTGTGCCATTGAACAGCAAATATATATATATATATATATCTATCTATCCCTATATACAAGTTATAGACTTGTGTGGAAATACGACACGAAGCTGTGTGTGTGTGTTTGTGTATGGTGATTCGGCATGCTCGACTGGCTGACAGGTCCACCAGTCATGAAAAGCCAAGGGAAGTGAGCCAGATTCCAGTGGTCCCACTGACGACTCAAATTGTCCTTCATTGTCTACGATTCAAGAGCAATCGACTTTGACTACCACCAAGCCTCCTCCGCAGCATCTAGGCTGTCAGAGTCAACCCAAGGCTTCAACAAACGAATAAACCAAGGTTGTCCGGGTGGTACTGATCCAACGATCCAACGTCAACGGGTTTACATGGCCTTACACTCTTTCATTACACTCCACAAGAACGACATTACAACATGAAGCAAGGACAAGGAAATACACAGAAACGAAGCAGCAACAAGGCAAGAGACACGCAGCAACAAGAAAACTGCGACGCACGAAGATCAAATCACGCAGTTCATTACTGAGATGGTTGCTTCCGAGAAGTGTTCAGCTTACGACCACATCTCCTTTGCTTGTTATAATCCGCCGGCCTGCCGGCGTGTTTTGTGCATTGTCTTGGTTAGTATAGCTTGTCTTGGTTTCAGCTTAAAGTTTGTCTCTCCGCGCGGATTTTTCGACAGCCTGACGCCCCCCCCCCTCTCGCCTTACTTTTAGTAAAGAAAATAATCTTCCCAATTCATTTTTCTTCTTTTAATGTTGAGGTGCTCGTACTTTTAAAAAAGAAAATAATCTTCCCAACTCATTTTTCTTCGTTTAATGCTGAGGTGGTCGTACTTTTAGTAATGAAAATCATCTTCCCAACTCATTTTTCGTCTTTTAATGTTGAGGCGCTCCTACTTTTAGTAATGAAAATCATCTTCCCAACTCATTTTTCTTCTTTTAATGTTGAGGTGCTCGTACTTTTAGTAAAGAAAATCATCTTCCCAACTCATTTTTCTTCTTTTAATGTTGAGGTGCTCGTACTTTTAGTAATGAAAATCATCTTCCCAACTCATTTTTCGTCT